TAAACTTATTTTGAATAATTTTGCTTTTTATGATGTTTTCCTTTTTATACTTAATCAACGATATTTAAAAATTTCGAGGCCGCTACAAACATTTCTTTTTTTCATTTGTTTAGACCAGTAGCTCAATCCAGAAGTATCATTGCGTCTTTTATAAAAATCATCCCCTGCCATTTCGGGTGTCAAAGCGAAGTCGCTACGAATTATGCCAATAGTTATTCTGCACTATTCAATAAGTTAAATTTAATAATATAGTTTTAATTCCGAGATCAAGAACGCCAAAATAGAGATGACGACATGGTAAAGAAAAAAACAAATTCTATAAAGTCCGTCAGATAATAGATAAAAATGTTAGATACGTATTTTTTTGCTTCAATTCAAACAAGAAATAGCTTAGATAATAGGAATAAAAATTGAGGAGTGGGGGCCGCTACGTCGCAGTTTTGTAAAAAATGTACAAAACATTTTAACTCGATATATTTAAAGATTGCGCAAAAAAAAAATTGTGTGTTTCATATTCAATAATTAACCTGACCTGACGGACAGACTATTGACCAGACTACACAAAAGACGAGACGTAATAGGGCCCGTAAGTTCAGCCTGTCGCTAAGCAAAGTGAATTTCGTACGTTGACCTTTGTGTCTATATAAATAGATATCGTATATATTTTATATTAACTTTACTATGACAAAATAAGGAAGTATTGAAAAAAAAACATTAGTTCCTGAAATCAAACTAGATGTCGCTACGGAAAATTCTTGATTTCTCCATGACAACACTTCCGGTTTTCTTTCATGTATAGTAAATTAATTTTCAATACAGTTGCTCATAAAGCGCTATTTTTTTAATCCATTGTAAACACCGAAAGTGAGTCTTTAAACACGTGTTATATAAATATGTACTGAAATCCTTCACTGCACACGTGCTTAAAAGTATTGTTTTAATTTTTTTTGGCCGAGCACTAAAGAATTAAAAAAAAAAATTGATAAAAATATGTTAAACTTTAGAGGCAAAAGTATTTCAAGGAGCCTAGAACGAATATTTTCAAATAAAAATGTATGACACGAAAACATGTTCAAATATCACGTTTAATTTTAACAAATAATTTTTACCTTTAATACATACCTACTTAGTTTTATTAATCTATATATTTGTTTTATTTCCTCACCAAAGCATTGAAAAATGTTTTAAGAAACTTGAGCGTAAAATGTTTTTCAAATTCGTGCCAATGAAAACCCTCGCTACGGTCGTGTTTTCAATTTGGCCCTTATTCGTAAAACCTTACTTTCCGCACTAGTATCTTAAATAACTATTTCAAAACTCAATAAGCAACTCATATTCTATTTGTACTTTTTCGTATTTGTGTTGATATCTAAGTTTCAAACTTTGCAAATTTCAGTTTTAATATGTTAGTCAAAAGGAACGGAAATGACTATCTTCGGTCCATTCGCGTCCTGCAAAAATCATTTTTTGGTAGAGTCGCCATCTAGTGAGGTGTTTTATTGTGCTTTCTTTTATTTTCTTAAAATACTTCTTCATTGGCTAGATGCAACCTCCACACATATGCAGTGTTATTAATAAACAAGGTTAAGGAGTAAATTTACTGAGACTGTACTTAGTATTATTGTCAAAATTCATATTATTAAACAGAGACTTAGCTAAGATTAACCTAGTACATGGTTTTACAAGAGTAATATTGACTTCTTAAAGGTAATAGGTTTGCTTATTCCCTGTTCAATAAGAATTTGGACTAATACTAAAATTACAATTTTAGCGTAAATTTACTCCGACGCTAAACCTTGTTTATTAATAGCACTGATGATGTATATGAATTGGAGTCGTCAAGTATACCTATGTATGGGATCCTCAGACAATAGGTTGAGATGAGAAATGATAATTTAACTGTTTGGGCACCAATCAGTTATCGGTAAGCTGTGTAATATAAGTTTGTTTCAACATTCAGTTACACCACTTATATTTTCTACAGGGTTTTTCTGCACCATTTTAAGCAGACCCGATGTTCAGTCTCCATCTTAGATCGAACCGATGTTCGTTCGCTCTACCGAATCGTCAATATAACTTTCTGTCGCGCTATGTTCGTCGAATTAATTATCTTATTTCAAAATCTATCGGAATTCCTTTCAGAGGTATAGCTATTATGATAGCGGTGTATGTAATCACGTAAATTTTAATGTCACAATCACTTAAGGAACGAATGATGATTTAAATTATCAAGAAACATAATTAAACCCGTCGAAAGATTGCAATTAGCATTCAACTTGTTAAACCTACATGGTTTTGTAACAGGAACACTGTCTATTCATATAAAATATTATTTAAAAAAAATATTAAGACTGTCATCTTTCTCTCTTGTTTGCTTTCTGTACAATAAAATCTTTAGAAAACCTTTACTACAACTAAAAATTTAGTCAGCTCTTTCGTTTGACTTTTTTCTATAGCTTTCAAGGGTATTGGCGTCTATAATCAATTATACCGTTTATTCAATATATTTAAAAGAAACGTTGCAATCACATTCGATATCACATGTAAAATAGTTTTAGCGTGAAGTTTGTGAATATCTTGCAAATACCATATTAAATGGGATTGGGATTGATTTAAATTAGATAATTAGGCCCCCGGAGTACAATTTTGAAAACGGTAAAAAATAAAAGCATCTATTACAGTATAAAATATATGCATCAAGCCGTTACAATTATCGCATTTTGCTACCGCGTTAAACGCACCTAACGCCATATATTACTAGGCACCACCACCACCAGCCCGCCCCTTTTACGTCCCCACTGCAGAGCTCAGGCCTTCCTTATGGATGGTTAAGGAGGATGGGCCATGACCCTCCACGCTGGCCCAATGCGGATTGGAGGGTATTAACGACTGCAAATGCAGCCGGGACCAACGGCTTAACGTGCCTTCCGAAGCACGGAGTAGCTCGAGATATTTAATTTTTTGGTTACCCATCCCGTTACTGACCCTTGCGAAAGTTGCTTAACGACTACGATCGCAGGCCGCGGCGCTTATCCACTATGCCACCGAGCTACTCTACAACATGAGAGTACTACACTCTTCAATATTACTAGTATAACAGCGATATAGTGATAAAGCTATATTAAAGAAGCTGCAATTTTAAAACGCCAATGACACGATGTAATTACGTTAACATTAGCAGAATTGCGATCGAGCGGAAGTCCCTGATCGGTCGTTATATTAAAGTCGCTAGTCGATATCAAATCGCTGTCTATTAAAGGTACATCCAAAATCAACTGGTTTTGTGCAAAGAGGTAACATAAATAAGTTGTATTTAAAAATAAAAGTGGCCGCCAAGATAACGAGTCAAACAAAACGCAAGGGCACTATCTACTTTTTCTCGAATCGCTTCATTGGTTTTTTGAACCGTCATAACGTGCAAACTTAATTTTGCAAACTTTATACCTTAATTAAAACATTTGACTTGGCCGTTTACAAGAATTTTATTCTACACAATCAAAGGCGAAATGTACACTACAGGAGTATATTTAAACTAACGCCCTTGTGATGGTAGTGGTGGTCTTTCATACGTTGTTGTTTTTTCTTTCTTTCTCCCATATTTAATTTATGCTACATTAATCGTGTCTTCTATGGGTAAATTTAATCTATCGCATATTTATTTTCATGATCTACTGTCTATCCATATGTTTTCTAGAAGTAATCACTTTAAGTGATAAGGATTCTCTTATATTTCCTAATAAAATTTTATTTTTACTTAATTTTGTTAACAGTGGTGTGTACAAAAAAGAATACTGGGATTGTATTGTAAAACGGTCAAGGCAAATGTTTAAAACCTTATTGTCCGCCTTAGAAAGTTTACATGAAAGTGTTTTTGGTGGGATAAAATGTTCTCGATAGTAAGCATTCATGAAGTTATCCATAAAATACTCAATTTTTCAATTTCATGTTGTAATTTAATTTATTATTTTATAAGGATAAATTATAAATAGCGAGTCACTTTTTTGTTCACACTTGCACTTGTTTTCTTTCGGATAACCAAGCTGTAAAAACATTTTAAAAAACCAGAAGTTGACAACCACCATTTTTTTTATATCGACATTATGAAATATTCAGAGATTTAAAGCCGTGCACTATAAGTGCATTATGACCTTAATAGTGCATTTGAATTAATATATTTAGGTATAAGTAAGGTATAGATAGGTCTATACCTTGCGGGTTTGGCAGAAAGTACAAAACCTCACAAAGTACGGTCCTTATATACATCTTAGTCTAATCCACATTCATTACTCTTTTCATACATACTCGCTGGTTTTTTATCTTCTAACATCACCTTTTAACAACACGCGATTGATTTGATCGTGAAAGGTATGTAGTGGCGTTAATCGGCGCCTGCATCTTTCCACTTCTTTGTCTATAACAATACAATTATTTTTCATCACTGTGACTAAAGTTTGCAAATCAGTTGGATTTTCTACAAGCACCACGGTGTCATTTGCACACAGCAGACAATCAAGAACTGGATCACCCATTTGCCACGTTCATAGATCTTATTCTCTGAGGACATTTTAATTAAACGTTCGATACTGCATTAGATTCAGTGTGTTAATTTAATGCAGTATTGACATTGAGTGCATTTTCATTGAATCCAATATCAATCAAAATTAAGCCTACGTAGTTACGCTACCAATCCGATTATATTGACAGCGAACAGAGAGAATCACGTTTGCATAGTGGATATTGGTGGTCTGAAGACAAAGCTACTTACAAGACGAGTGACCAAAATATTTTGCTCATCCATCTTGTAAACAGCCAAGCCGTATTGCTACCATGTACCCGATGTTATATTCCGTGGATCATGGCGCTTGCAACAGCGCCAAAATATCGGGAACTCTACAAAAATAAGTGCATGATAGTAATCCCGTTTTTAGCAATCATTCCAATGAAACCTTTGTGAATTTTGCTAAATCTCCACAATTACCGACCACCCTAATTACAACGCCATAGAGCTCCCTAATATTCAAATATTTGCTTCAAATATATATTTTTCAACAGTAAAACCATTAAGTTGATTATTTTCACTGCTTTATTTATGTCGATTAATACCACAGTTTGTAAAACTTAAAAACTATCCTTAAAAGTAAGTACACAGGGGCTCAAATTGAACACAGTCATATCTGAACCAATTTCTCTACTAATAATACGTCTTTTTTCATTGAAAATGTTGTTCACTAGAAAACGATCAACAGCATTCCATTTTACGTACTACATAACAATTCTCTATATACACATAAAATATTAATTTTATCACATCATTCATTCAAAAATATACCTTAAAATTACAAGGATTGAGTCACTTTCGGTTTGCGACATTTAAGAAATACATTTAAGTCTTAAACAATAAAAGCACTAATGGTTTTCAATTTCATTTAGCTTTACTTTACTTTAAATGGACATATATATTTCATTAATGCAACAGAATAATTTTTTGATAATTTAATATGTATGATTTCAGATTTAAAGAGATTATAGTACGAATTGCAGATAGAGCGTTTTGTTTTTGGAATCTGCAAAACTACTGATTGTCTACTGTCACTATTAAACTATTTCTATTACCAAAATATCTTTGCATATTTATCAAACTACACTTTTAATAGCAAAAATAAAAAATCGGTTTATATATAGAGGTAGATGCAACGTAATAGTCCAAATGTTCAGGTTGAGACACATTAATATTATAACTTTAGAATATAATCTTCACAATTCACTACCATATTATATTAGTTGATACGAGTAATAAATTATATAATTTAGGCCTCTTTAATAACTAATTAATTGCATTATTGTACTCTTTCTTTCTAAACTAATTCTAAGACTATAGGTAACTTTGAAACACTTGATTATTGTAAATCATAAAAAAGAATTATATCGGATTTTAAGAATAGAAAATATCGTATAAAAAATCGTTAATCTCACAATTTTAAATTGAGTACAATGAAGAAAGAAAACATCGAATAGGTTATTGAGTAATACTAATAGAAATAATAAATCTAAAGAAACTCGTAAGATGAAACCTAATTCACATATTTTTTATGTTAATTATAACCAGTATATAATTACTACGGATTCCCTGACGACAGATTTTTTTTTTACACTATGTGACGCCTATTATTTGCTAGGATAATTGCAATTTACAATTCAATACACTATCTACTCATAGATAAAATCTACCCAAAAATACGAGGACTATTCATTATTATTTGTTCTAGGACTGTCAATAAAATTTAAGTTTCGAACTACGTTATAGGTATGTCATGCATATGAGAAACATAATCATGACCATAATTTAAGGTATAAGCTATAATAAGCGAGAAATTCGATCAATAAATGTCAGAATCGAAAAGAATATCATTTATAGTTATAATTTAGACCACACAAAAAAAAAATATTGTCCTCCTCCATTTAAAGTGATGTCAAAGTCAAAAAGATAGCTATTGCAATAAATCACATTTTGGAATCATATCACAGTCTATGCTACTCTCGTACTTAGAGTTTGTAACTCCTTTATATCTGACCATTGAGAGTGAGAGAGCGAGATACCACTAATTAGTATACATACATGTTGATCTTTAATAATAATACTAAGAACATGTCTTCCACGATACAGCGGTCCTCTTTGTTGTGCCTACCTATTAGAATGTCATCTATATAACATTGGCACCATGGTAGTTACAAGTATACTTTCTATAAAATTTAATAACAATACTGATTGATAGTTAATTAATTCATAAGGCATGTAAAACATTTTCGAAAAACAAATTTATATTTAAAAACAAATAAATTATACAGTTAATTTCGCATAAAGCTATTTGCTAAAAAGTCTTATTGAAATTCATCTTCTAAAATGATTTTGTTGAAATATTTTAAAATAATATGTAATTCGGACAATGCCACAAAAAGGTACAATGTTAGCGCCGATGATGTTTTGCAGTCGATATTTAAAGACCACGCAATGAAAAATCAAGAAATGCTCTTAAATTTGGTTTTATTTTTCTTTCACTGGACGTTGTTTCCATACTCTAAACCGAAGATGGATAATACGACGAAGGCTAGACCTAAGAATACTGAACCCAAAAGATCACCCAAGGCAGTCAGGTAAGGAATGGCTGCATTATCAGGATCCTTCTTCTTCTTCCACATCAGATGTATAAGCATGTATGCGAGGTACAATAGTACCATAACCTGAAAGAAGAGGGAAAATATATTTATAAACTGTATCTCAGTCTATTAATACTTTTATAATTGTGGGTTGTGATCTAACAGTATAGTTTATTTATATATGTTGTTTTAGACATTTATTACCAATAGAACAGTTATTTATTCTATGAGTATGTCGCTTGTAACTGTGCAAAAAAATTAAGGTACATTATTATTCTAGATAACTATTATTCTCTAATGTTATTATAATATGACATATTAATTATTTATAATTGTGGTCATCAATTACCTGTAAAGTTGCACACATGACATAGGTAATGCCAAAGGCTGCTTGGATGGTCACAACGCCTTGGTAGACGAAATCAGCTACAGTCATAAAGATGATCTGTCCAAATATTGCCAACACTATTAACATGCGGGCCACCTTAGCTGCAGAAGCTGTAAAAGAAAACTTTATTTAGTGCACTGTTTCATATATATATCAAACTTTGAAGTTAATATTTGTACAAATATTAATTAAGTTAGTACAAATATTTTTATGCTTTTTTTTCAATTCAATCATATCACATGACCTGCCTATTAGTGTCCCCACCGTTGGAGCTTAGGTCTTCCTCGTAGATGGAATCGAATCGAATAGGAAGAATGAGACGTGCCCGGCCCAGTGTAGATTGATAGCAGATCCGAAGCACGGAGGAGTTCGAGATAATAAATTTTTGATCACTCATTCTAATAGCGGCTATTGCGAAAGTTGCTTAACAACCGTATCGCAGACCAAGCGCGCTAGCCACTGCGTCATCGATCTCCTTCAATTGAATATTCATACTTTTTGTACATGAGTCCATCCTTCCTATATATGAATATAGGGAGTTACTATGTGCTCTCAAACCACATATAATAGTATTTGTTTAACTATTGAGTAGTGAGTAGGGTTATTTTATCAACATACTTAACATACTTGAAATCTAATCAATTAATTGAGTTTTGTTTTGGTCAATAATACATATTATGAATCATTGTTATCGAAATCCAATTCCGTTTAAACTTTAGAAAATTTCCGAAACTAATATACTGTAATAACTATTATAGTTATTAGAGGAAACTTAAACCATATAACAAGTTTAAATGCAAATATCGGTTCTCTCTATGAGTAAGAAGATGGATTTTTAGTAATATGCTAATAGGCTTATTGACAATTAAATAGTCCTTTAATATCTGCGAAAATATGTAGAAGTAACAGCATGTCTGTGATTAACAGTTTCGGAGATACGATGCTACATTTGTGGAACTGCTATTAGACGGTCAAAAATGCTCCCTACGCTACCACTAAGAAAAGTCACATAGTGCTACGGTAGCGAAAAAGGTATGGACGTCTAGGCAATCTTTGCTGTTTGTGCGTTTATGTTCACAACTATCATAATGAAAGTTGTCACGTTTTATGTAACTAATGTATTTTAGCAAATTTTTGTAATAGATTTTCCCTACTTTTTTCAAGTTTCTAAAGCGTTATATTTTTTAAATTAGTGTTATAAAATTTTGAGAACATTTAACAGAAACCATTTTTTTCACTTGTACGACACAACTCTATTTTTGACAGGCTGATAAAATATAGACTTCGATTCCAGAAGTGGATGGATGAGCAGTACTTATAATAGAAGTAGAAGTTCGCCTTATCTTGGGGACACGCGTTCAAAAACATTATAAATGCCACATCTTACTTCCGAAGAAGAGAGTTTTCCATGGCCATTCCAGGATCCTCGTGTTCTCTGGCAGCTCGCCAGGTATTGCCGTCTGGTGGAGATTAGTGGCCAACCTTGATGATTGCACGCAGACCAGGTTGCCTCCGATACCATTGACAATGGGTTGGAACACTTCGTATCCCCGGAACCGGTCCACGGCCTGATCGAGGACAATTCCTCCGATTCTGTGAATTAAAGAACATATTTATTATTAATTAAATAATTGATATCCCTTATGAGAAATACTTAAAAAATCCACTTTCTGGGCGATTGTTCCAACCATTGAGATACCCAGAACCTAACTCAGCTCAATCACAGTCGCTCGGATTGCGAAAGGTCATGAGTCCGAGTCCTATCTCAGAGTGCCAAAGACAAAGTGGATTTTTTAAGTATTTTTAAACATTTTCATTAAGAATATTTTTCAGAATAGCATTGTGAATGCGAAATTGGTCATATATAATAGTGATTGATATCGTTCCTTTCTAAATATACATAGCACAAGTGGCTTAATTACTAATCACTTGTTGGAGTACATTTATATTTTATTTAATTATTTTCGTTTTATTATATTCCTACTTTCTTTTTATCATGTCCTTTAATTCGCCTAACATATAAAATAATGCTCCTAACATATAAAACACTTATTTATTAATTAATTAATTTCTTTAAACAAGGCATAAATTTTGATATGCATGTAATAAAATGTAGTGCAGTGTTTTGTTATGGACAAGTCGATATAATTTTAGGTAACAAAAGAATAACAATTATAATATGCAATAGAATGGATGATGGAATCAATGATCTTGTTAATTATTATTTATCTTAAAAGGGATTTTTATTAAAATATTTATTCTCTTCATTGCAATTATTTTATAAAAAAGAATATTTTTTTTGCGATAGAATTATAATTATATCTATAACTATATTTCTATTTATTAAGGTTGCCTGGAAGAAATTGCTTTTTAGCAATAAGGCCGCCAATTGTACTGTTCTGTTAGATTATTATATATTTGTTCATTCACTTAATCTAACAATAGGCATTATAATTAATGCTAGTTTGTCATCGTCATTATGAGCAATTAACATTCTTAAGGGTTATTAAGCATTTTGCTTACAATATCTACAATTTAAATCAATTACTAAATGAAAAGATGGGAAAAGAAATATCTGCTAACGACTAAAGACTTAAAATATTTAATAGACACTTTTGTCTGTCCCTATTAATCTCCTCGCAAACTACCAACTGTGTAGAATTGTGATCTGCTGGAAGAACAAATAAATCTACATACATTAGATATGGTGCTATGAATACCATAATTAAGTACTATTATCGACTAAGTACCTTCTCCGAAAGTATTTTCTCTACAATGTGCAAGTACTACTACTCATTCTGTTTCGACGAAAACGAAATCTCGTCTATTTTCAACAAAATCCTAGGAAATTTCCGAAATTTTCTGAGTTTCTCGTTCAAAGATAAATAGAATAAACTCCAGGTGCCATGTTCATTCTTAGGAGTTATATATGTTGGCTATTAATTCTCAATGATACAGAAAAATTGTGTCAAGAACTTGCGTTATAATGTTTATCCTCACCTTCGAGTCTGATTGCAAATGAATTAATTATGTCAGAAAATGAGTGTAAAATACTGTAAATTAGTTTTGCATAACAAAAGTTTGAATGTATCTCGTTTAATGCTGGTACGTGCTGGACGTGACCATTGTAGGTAAAGTTATTATATGATAACTGACCAAGAATTAGTCATAGATTAAACGAATAATGTATGCATATATAAAGTAACTGTTTTCCCGTGACTTCGCTCGCGTAAATTATAGTTTATATAGCTATAACATCCGCGTAGTTGTAGCTTCCTGTAGGTGAAAGAATTCTCATGATCGGACCAATACTTCCGAAGATTAACGTTTACAAATAAACAAAGTTAGAAATTTATTTTAAAATACTCGTATTAGTATATATAAATAAAACGTAAACAACAGTGTTATTGATTTTCAAAAAATATATCTCGTTAAGGATGTACATTTATAAAGAGTTGCAGACTTTATTTCAATAATGGACAGATCATAGTTCAGATAAAAATTAATTAATGCGTTATCAATTGATAAAAACGATTCATATCTCATAAAAATACATGGACGGACTCATTTGCAATACCGCATGCAATGGAAGATTGATATTTCTATCTCTAGATCATTAAATCTGACACTAATCTGTTTTTCAAATCAATAACGTGACTATATAAAATATATTTTATTTGATCAATTAGAACGCATTAATAATAATAAGAACAAAATTTTTATCTTTATCGAAAGTTTCAATATTTGTAAAAATATTTTTTTCGGCTGTTTGGGTGGATCGCCTGAATCGATGAGAATACGCCCTGTAGTAGCGAAAAAATGACATCTGCTTGAAAGATTCGTCAATCCTATTAGGTTCTGGGTAGTTTAGAGGTTAGATCAGTCGCCCGGATAACGAAAGGTTATGGGTTCGAATCCCATCTCAAGGTACCAGGGACCAAGTAGATTTTTAAAGGTTTTTCATTAAGCACATAAAATATATTTAGAATAAACATGATCACGGAACGATTTTAAAAAGGAATGGTGTACATGACAATAGCTACTAAGCTATTGTCATGTACACCATTCCTTTTTAAGTTTCTAACTCTATACTTATAAAGAGGTGAAGTTTCTAACTTTGTTTGTTTGTGTATAGTATATACTTTAGGTTGATGCATATTATTTGCCTTAGGAGTATATTTTACATTTTGTGTTAATATTAAATAGTTTTTTTAAGACCACGTTTTCTACATCAATTCTTTAAGATGAGCTTGAAATCGCGACTTACCCACTGATGAAGAGAGCTGAAATGACTGGCGTCCAGCCTGTGGTAAGGACCTTCTTGGTGTACTTGTTCCTGTAGACCACAAACACCCAGAGCGGGAGAAGACTAAAGTATACGCATATCAACATTATAGGCTGCCACAACGATGATCCTGTAACAAAAATAAAGACTATAATAAAGACTATGTGAGTGGTGGAGAATACATAGTTTGGATATAAGGGCTACCTTTCTGACTGCAAGTAGGTTTGTCAAATTTTATTTGACAGAATAAGATATATGAGAGTTCAAAGTAAGTAACTATAGAGCGTGCTCAAGAAAAGGATTGTATTTTTTTACATTTAAAAAAGTATTTTTCGGTTACGATCATACATAGAAATCCTGTATGTGTGACTGGCACTAGTATCAGAAATATATCGTGTAAAAATAGTATTTTGGCGCTTGCGAGTAATGTTATAGATTGCTGAGTACTCTCCTAAGTAACGTAGAGTGCAATACTCTATTTTAGAGTGCGATTGACAACCCTAACTGCAAGTACAAAAATGATACTGTCTCATTAGAACACTTGAGGGTCGAAAATATAAAGGCATAATGAGGAAATAAAATACGCGTGTAAGAAGCAGGACTCTAATATTACCGTAATTATGGCGAGTCAGTTGTCATAAATCTATAAAAAGAATCAATTATCGTAATTAACGATACATCATACTCAGTATCTAATGAAGATAAATATGTTTTTAATATTAGTTAATGCAAATTCTGTCACCTCATCGTTATATAAATGATTTTATCCAACACTATTTGTTGATTATATGAATTTAATGCCTTCATTGAAAGAGATAAACCATCTAAATCGAATGATTTAATCACTATCAATTTATCGGACATATTTGAAATATTTATGGAATGTCACATTCGTCAATTGCATGATTGGTTTCCATGCAAAATTTATCTACAAAAAATTTTTCTTTGTTAAAGTGTCTTTGAAGATGTTTGTGAATAAATATATCGTGTACTTTATTGGCGAGTTCGCCTTGTGTATAGGCGAGTTCGCCTGCGTGGTTTGCACAATGACATGACAGAACATTCTCTAGGAAACTATTTAATGGGAAATAGTCGTCTATGTGTTAATTCATACGTAGAATTATACGTTTAACTAATTTTATCGAAAGCCCTTCAGTAGTTTATGAATGAAAAATAATAATAATACTTATTTCAAAAGCGTTTCTTATTCAAGAAATTGCTATTTAAGTCGGGTGGAGGTTTTCCTTAGGTTCTTAATTAACTGACAGGCATTCGACTTCAATAGCATTTTCTTGAATAAGTCATTTTTGAGATAAGCATTACTTTTTATTTTTTTATGTTTGAAGTCAATTCTATATTCTTTTAGGTTTTTATTTCGTTCAAAATCAATACTGGCAACTGATGTACTTAATAAAACACAAATTATTGTTGATGTATATAAGTTTGTTGGCATTAGGATCATTTTCATCGACGACCTTTAAATGCTTCTACTTTTTCACATTTTTCATGTCTTTTAGGTTTAAACCATGCTAACATAAAATATAAAAAAGAAACAAGATGTGTCGAAACAATCTATACTTAATATATACTATTGTATAGACTACTTTACCTAAAGTTCGATGACCGATTTTCATCAATACACGTGTTATTAATAAACAAGGTTTAGCGTTGGAGTAAATTTACGATGAGGCTGCACTTAGTATTAGTCAAAATTCATATTATTAAACAGACTAAGTCAAGGTTAACTTTTTACAAGGTTCTACGGGAGTATTATTTATTCCTAGAAGTAGGTTTGCTTATTTTCTGTATAATATGAATTTGGACTTACATTAAAATTGCAATTATAATGTAAATTTACTCTGATGCTGTTTATTTAATAACTACAATAAAAATAAATATGAAAATGTAATTAAATAATAATATATATATGAAATAAAAAAAACATAAATATGTTCTATTAATGATATTAAGCCGTAGGAAAACAATTGGAATAGGCAAATCGCCAAACTATCGTTCTGTCTAAAGACCTCGAATAAGCTAAATATTAATTTTTTTATGATTTTAGTATTTAGCTTATTAATTATATGAAAAAACTACCTACTCTATTTTAGGAATACTCACCAGTCCCATTTTCGATATCAGGTTCTTTGAATGATTAAAAATACAGTAAAAACAATTAATATCTATTATACACTCACTTATATTTTTATCTTGTAAATTAGAGACATGATTGCATTAGATAAAGCTTTTTTTATATTAATAAATTTTATTTTAAATATTATTATAGCAAATAAGTGGATTGCAGCATTTAATCTCGATTTTACCTAATTAACACTCAATTAGCGATGGACACACTTAAAATGAAGCTTAGCACAGAGGATGCCTAAGAATTTTCGATCTAGTTCATATCTATAAAGAAAAGCGATAACTCTTAAGCAGAGCGATATAATTCACGCTACATTCGATTCCTTTCTTGAGTGTCACTAGATGGCGCATTTTTTTTTTGTACAAATAATTTTCTAAATATTAATCATTAATTCTTTTGCATACCATTGGCTAAATTATTTTTCAAACGTGGCAAACCCTAATTTAATTTAGGCAAACAAAGCATTTGCACAGATAACTTATTTCCGTTAAGTATAGAAAATAAATAAATGCAAAGCTTGCATTCTTATTTAACAGTTTTTCCCACTAAATATACGGCAATGGTTATAGAATAGTCGAAGACACAAGCAAGTATTTCCGATTTAAATAATGTCAAAATGATGACACATAAGATTCACTGCTCTACGACATTCTTCACAAGTATTTGTAAATCTATTTATGCCTACAATTTGACGTGGTAATCTTTTATTACACATTTATTTTTGGATGACAAAACCAATCGCTATAATTTATCGAATAATTGCGACGCCAAGTTACACTTGAAAATAACACAAATGGTATATGTGTCATACAGAATATTGTGGTGAATAATTTCCTCAGTGAAACAAAATAAATGTACGTGCTTCATTGGAACGACTCATTTGCTATTAATTCCTAGATAACGGTTATTTTGTTGATTCATAGAACTGTTAAAAAAATCTCACAATTAAAACGTCGTTATAAAGTTTGTGTATGTTAACGATCGAATATTAACTGTGTTGTTACTATTAGTTGGCAAATCCAAGTGGTCAAAAAGAAAAAAGCAACTTTCAGCCTTATAACAATATATGCGCACAACATTCTAAATAATGTATATATAATAGAGTAGGAATGTAAGAGTGTGAAAGCTTAATTAAATAAAGAATACCCTTATCAGCATTAATACTAAAGATAAGACCTTTACTTGGAAGGTCGATTCGTAGTTTCGTGTTGAAAGTTGGTAAATAGAGGGTAAAACCTCAGAACATAAAAAAAGAGTAAACCTCCCTCCGTTCCTTCCTCCTTTCTCAGTTGCCTTTACACACGTGACAGTTCGTGGAAGAGTAATATAAGAATCGGTATTATTTACTATTAGATACAGCAGAAATACTCACTTATTTGTTCATACATATATTGGGCGGTGACAGCTAACACGGAATTGCTGACTATATCGCCGATAGAGGCTGCCAGTGGGGTGGCCACGTTGTCTGGGTTTAGCTTGAATTTATGTGACCAATATATTACCATCACCATCACAAAATCTGAAATAAAAATATAGAAAACATAGTTCCAAATTAAAAAAAAATAATACGTCATGATATATTTGCAATCAAAGAAGACACGAAATAAGACTTGAACACGTAAACTTAAAAATCGATTATCTAAATCTCATGCTGTTTCATTTAACGACGCTATATTAATAGCACTTAGAATGTCGTATTCAGAATAATGCAACAAAAAGAAGATAATTGCATTATCAAAAATGCTTAAAAACCACTTTGTCCCTGGCACTTTGAGATGGGATTAACCCATGACCTTTCGCAATCCAGGTGACTATTTTAACCACTGAGCTAACTAAAAGGAATTTTTCAAGCTTTTGATACTTTAATACTAATAAATATAACAATACTGATTAATTTACATACATACCTAAGACAAAACAGGTAGTGGTAGCCGTGAACACAGCTGATGCCGTGATGAGCAGAATGTAAGGCCCATGGATGGATCGCTCTGTAATCGTGTTAACGATAATTGCGAACATTGATACAACTGTAGACGCAACTATCGCTTGCACCTGAAGACAAAACAATATTTGACAAACTTAGAAACGAATCAGTAATAGATATTGTGCATGGGAATTGAGTGTACTACCTATAGGACCCTAATATTAGTTTACAACTCACAGAATATAGAAAGGCATTAGATTGACTAGATAATCCCACAAGGATTTGAGCTGGCACCCTTGTTTCTGTATAATTTTAATATTCATGTATATGAGTGGACTTTAGTATCTATAATTCGTATATGTACATACATATTGAGAGCTTGTATTTTTAAATGCACTGTAGCATAAAATGAGATCCCAATCAATTTCTGTTATCTTCGGTTCAACTTTCGTAGTTTCCAAGTTGTAAAATCTTACTATTCTATATTATCTTGTATCTATTTATATGTAGTGCTTAGCTTGAACATGATTATCGATCGAACTGACATTATAAGAGATATATTTTTAGTTTGGTATATAATAAACAATGATTAAGTCATTTTTAATGACAAAATCTATGACTATAACTCTGAATTATATATCTAACCAACTAAGCTAAAATTTAGTTTAAATTTTGAAAATTATTGACAATACCTACGAATAATTGTCACTAGATTCAGAACTGACCTGTACTAGTGATATGTTTCCGACCACCATGGAGATGACCTCCTTCATAGATACCATATTGCCGAGATTGGCTTGTGTTGATAGACGCGATGCCAAACACATGTCGAGGTTTCCTGTGGACAAATAACGATAAATATTTATTCAAAGTTTAAAGTTTGACAGACATTTTCTAGCTGAAAAATCAAACTTGTAAAGATATAACAGTCTAAGAAAAGAATGAGACTCCCCACTTTCTCTGAATTTATATTTCTCTAGCAAAATAAATAATAAGCAGCTGTTTTCAATTTTAAATAATTAAATTAACTAGCAGTCAAACTCAGACTTCTACGATGCTACATGCTATCTTGAACTTAAATAGTGTCACTATAAATCCACTTTTAGAATTCTTTTGTGAAGAATAAGTACCTTAACTTAAGACATGCAACAAATTGTCTTTGCAACAGTTGTCTATAAAATACACAGAGCTAAACACACATACTATATTGTAGGTAATGTGAAACAAAGAATATTTTCAAAGATGTCATTTATGTGAGTATTTTTTTTTATTTGTAGGTAAACTCTTTGTCGTTATGTGTGATTTGCTCAAACTGAATAATGTTATTGTGTTAACAAACAATGAATTGTAAAAGGGTTTTTTTCCGAGTTTATCATAACAGAAAACAGTTCTGCAAACGTCATTAGTTGTGTTATTTTTCATAGTGAATAGATGAAGCTGATTTTTTAAAATAATTTTTTTTTTTACGATGAATATTAGTTTTTATTATACTATTCGTAGCTTTTCGCCATTAGCTTCTCCTGCGTACCTAGAGTGTCGCTTAGTGGGTTAAAAAGTAGTCTATATATTTAATAAAAAAACTAAAAAGAAACCCTATAATTTGGGACTTCTAGCATTTGTAGTAAGGAAGTTTCATAGAATCTATCAAAAACAACCCCTTAGATGTCAAATTTCGTAAACCCCCGTCTTAGTGAGCATCTATATTCTAAAAAGATCCTTCTACTTAGCACTTGTAGTGTCTGAGATTTCGTAATGAGTGAGTTAGTGAGTAAGTGAACTTTCGCTTTTATATGATGTTGAGAAATATACACATAAATTGTTTAGCAGAAAATTTAGTAGCTGAAGTGCATTATAAAATAAAGGGATCCAGCATATGCACCGTGCAGCAATAATTGACATTTATTTCAATATTATTTTTTTATATAAATCCGTAGATATCATACATATTTCTATTAAATTGTTACGTTTAAATAATCTTTAAGTAGAGAATCTTATCAATAATCATGTTACAGTGTTTATTTAATAGAATACGATACTCATGTCGAAATACCTTTATGTCTCAATAGCAGGGGATTCACCGATAAAATATTACTTATACGGATACCGAGAATCATAACAGTTTTATAATGAAATCATTGTGTCTGAAGTATTAACAGCCGTTTAATAACAATGACTTATAATAATTTGCATTGCATGAACATTAAATACTATAGGTAGACGTTTGCGGCGTCTTTGATGGCTGAGAATTTCTGTTGCTACAATATTCGGGAAATCATTGGTGGCCTAATCTTGAAGCTATTTCTTAAGTCTGGTTCTTAGAATCTTATAACAGAAACGTAATTGTTTTTTACTAAGGATATATAAGCGATATTTATATAATATTGAAATATTAATGTGTTATGGTATACGGTAACAGCAATGTATTCTATCTTTTGAGAGTTCTCACTTCATTAAAATTCTTGTTTATGTCTTAAAAATATTTGCTTAAGTTATTACTTTTACTCAAGTAATTACTTCTACTCGACTATAGATACGACCGTAAGAGATTAGAAAAATCAAGCTAATATTTTTATATTAAAATTTAGTCCCAGTCACTCATTGCTAATTTTAATAAGATTAATTAATGTTTTACTCATTATTTTGTTAATAATTAAGATAAAAATAAGACCAAATTTCCTTAAAAAAAAAAAAAATGTGTATGCTTTGAGCACGCCTGATATTTTCTGGCAATGCATATCTGTCATCTAACTAAGGGCTTATATGTATGTTATATATAAATATATATGTATTATAGAATTTAAAGTATTTATGTATTTCATTTATTCATTAAATATAGGTAGAGATATGATATCTTGATAAAGTTTGAGACACCATAAGCTACCCTAAATCTAATCTAAAGTAATTTTAGTTCAGTTCACAAGGTTGCCTGGAAGAAATTACTTTTTAGTAATAAGGCCGCCAATTGTGCATTCACATTTATTGTATCCTTATATTTGTTTCTGTCCATTGGTGTACAATAAAGAATTTTTCATTCATTCATCCATTCATTCATTCATTCATTCATTCAAATTTCGTATAGGTAGTTACATGTTATATTTTATTAAAACCAGTTCAGTGATTTCGGAGTTTATCAATGATACGTGACAAGAGATGTTTATAGGCTGTATTTCTTTCTATTATTAACTACAGATGTTGTATGTTACAACTTAAAGATAATAATTATATACTTATTAAATATATATTCATACAACGTCAACTGACAATCGATTTAATAATACATAACTGTATTGTAAATATGGCATAATTAACGACAGTTTGTAAAGATGTAAATACGTGTATGTGTTCCGTTCTCTTTAATAATACTACTTTGAGTACTATATTAACATGTGAATAGTTTATTTATAAATGTAGGTATTGATTTAATTTCAATTTATTACAAATAAAGATATTTCATTAAAGAAATAAAAATTTGTCAAAACAAATTAAAGGTCACATGATTATTTTGATGTTGAAATATAAAATATAAAATACATGTCTTTCGAAATTTGAATACTTTTTTGAGATAACAATATAAAAATTAAAGAGGTTTTATATTGAAAATCAATCAGTTCAAATAAACAAACCATTTGACTATTACGAAACCTATGATATCTATTATATTTTATCAATTTTCCATTTACAATGCTATACGGGATAATACACATTTTTCATTAAGAATAATTCTTATATTTTTAAAGTCACTAAAAGACGCGATGGCTGTTTAGTGTACGGGAAAATTTGCAATCGGTAAAATTTTATTATGTGAGATGAGTTTAATGAGCGATTTTTGTAAATATGCTAACAGTTTAGAATGAAAATATCACTAAAGATCAAAATGGGTTTTATCAACTTTAAAATCTAAACATTTCACAGCTCGATGACATAGCGGAACGCGTTCGGTCTGCGACGCAGAAGTAAAACAACTTTCGCAGTGACTGCACGTGGGATGGGTGACCAAAAATTTAATATCACAAATTCCGCCGTGCTTCGGAAGGCACGTTGACAACAATAATAATTGCGTTTAAAATTGTCTCTTAACAATAGTCTATACATTTTTTTAAACAAAAAGTTTTTCTCATGGTTTTCCACACATAAATTATAAACACCCAAATAACAAAATAAACCGCTTTCAAATGACGGTTTAATATCTAATTGTACATTAATGTGCGCAAATCGCTATAGGAACGGATGTATGAAAAAACTATTAATGTCCCTTTAAACTGGTGGATTAGTCGTATAAGAAAATTCTTATAAATTTAGATTATAGTATTATAACTATTGTAAGTTGTTATTTCGCGTCAACATTTATAGCACGCGTCTATTAATATATTTCTATTTTATCTTCAAGTAGGTGAATTTCCATGATCAGATATACTAATCCGAAGTTTACCACCTCCAAACATACAAAATTAAAAACTTTATCTGTTTATAATGTTAGTATAGATAAATTACCTAAGTATCTTATGTTATTGTTATGTTATTGATTTGATAATCATTATATAAAAATTTTAAGTGTATTATGAGTTAATATAGTTATCTAAATCAAACATAGGTACTATCAAAATGGATATTTCATTGTGTTTCTTTAGAATAATCAAATTTGATTTCGACAGTCATATTTTATTTTTATTACAGATACGTGCAGGAAAGCTACATGTAATAACTGTTATATATATTATTTTTAATGAACCCACGACGTTTCGCTATCCGGGCGACTGCAAAAGATCGCGAGTTCGAGTCCCATCTCAGAGTGCCAGAGACAAAGTGGTTTTTTTAAGCATTTTCATTAAGAATATGTTTTAATTTAATATTGTGAATGAATAATTCATCAAATATAACGTTATATATATTCTTAGTGAAAATATGCTTGTAAATCCCCAGGTACTCTAAGATAGGACTGAAACTCGCGACCTTTCGAAATCCTGTTATAGGTACATATCTTTAAAAATACTTTAAAAAATCATAAGTCCCAGGTAGAGATATGCGTCAGGAGATGTTATTTTGATTTTAGGGAAACGTTGTTTTTAATGTACCATATTAATTCGAGATAGAATTGTGACTTTAATATAGTAAACAAGAATTAAATATAAGAGTATATTAGATATAGAAAAAGATTGTTGGTCTTACACAAAGACTTCTATTACACAAGGAAGCATTATTTTCTGATTTCGACATCGAATAATGTTATTGCAATTGATACAAGAATTATTCATAATTATGTTAATGAGCATTACAAACTTAAATCATTGTCATAAGAAGTCATTGCCAACTTTATTTATAACGCAATTGTATCAAACAATAAATCTATTTAAATAGAACTATTTTAAGACAACGCATTAAGAATATTAATCTACAATTCGAATTATCAGAAGAATACATTTCGTTTACATTTGCATAATATCTATTTCATTTAATTGTAGAGCTATTTCATTGAATTACATAAGATATTTATTTATTTCTTTCGCGATTATTATTTTTGAATATTTTAGATTTTTTAACTACATTATTTTCAAAGTTCGAATCCCATCTTAGAGTACTAGAGATAAAGTGATTCTTTTTAAGCTGTTTTCATTAAGATTATTTTTCAGTATAGCTTTGTGAATGAAAAATTTATTAAATATAAATAGTTAACCAGTAAAACCATAGAAAAACAGTGTGTAATAAAAAAATACAGTGTCGAATTCAATGTCGACTACAATGTTCTCAGATCAGAGAAGTAAACCAAATAAAATCTACTTTAAAGGATGATATCAAGAATATTTTTAATGAACCTTTAATACTGTAACAGCGCTGATTTCATTTTACAGAATAGTAAACCTGGACCATTGATGGGTAACAAATACTTAAGGACACCTCGATCTCAATAAAGTATAAAAAGTCAATTGATTAGAGCATTCGCCTGCATTATAATGTATTGAAATGCTATTTAGGGCATTTTTGTATGTCAAACTTTCAATGAGGAAATATTTAAAAAAGAAATTAGTTGCCGAAATCAAACTAGATGTCGCTACGGTACTTTTTTGATTTCTCCATGACAACCCTTCCCGTTTTCTTTCATGTATAAAATTAAATTAAAATTTCAAAACTCAATAAACAACTTATTCTACATATCTTCTACTTTTACTTCTTCAACATATTCTTTTTGTATTTTTTCGTATTTGTAAATCAAAGTTTCGAACTTTGCAAATTTCTGTCCTTTAATGTTAGTTAAAACGAACTAACTTAAAACGAACTTTGATCCATTCGTTTCCTGCAAAAATCTACTTTTCCTAGAGTCGCCATCTAGTGAGGTGCTCTTTTTTGATTACTTCCTCATTAGTATTCTTCGCATAGTAAAATTATTTTTATAGTGAAAAATATGATTCAAAATTTATTAAAAAAAAAAAACACATTACTAAAAGACATATCTGCACATGAGTCTGTAACACACATTAGTAATGTGTTTATTATATAACAAAATAAAGATGTTATTTTTAATATATAGTGCATTGTTATGAATTTTATTGACTTAAATGAACAATGCAATCATATAACAATAAGATATTGCTTACGTTAACTTGAGGTACAATTATCATTATCTTTTGTCTAACAATCCGACTGTGCGAGTTATTTTGTACAGTATACAGCACGTAAGGCCAAGTTTCTTCAACAGATTTTAAGCCCTAATCTGTGAACGGGTTTCAAAATATATTATGGTATATATATGTTATGGTATTAGGTGAACAAGCAGCTGATGTTTTCAACTTCTATTTTTTTAAAGAACTAGTGGTTAAAAACAACTCAAATCCTTTTATTATATTTCTATGTATTCTTTTTAAAATATAGAGTACAATCTAAGTCCATTTGAGGTCCAATCGAATAAAACTTTTTATAAGGTAATAAAGGTTTTTTTTTTAATTGAAACTGTAATGTTGTCTCATTAGGCGTTATATTTTTACAGAATACAAAAACTGGATTGCAATCATCTAACATGCTAGCTATCTCTATTAACATTAGTTTTATTCAGTAAACTAACTGAACCATTGTCCGCCGTCTTACGGAAACACATTGACGTCTTCATCTTGTCAACAAGGAACTCCAAAAGAGAAGGTCGCCATAATCGACGCATTATTTCTCGAAGTCCGATACATGAACTATCATCATAGCACCAACGGTAGCCACAACAATACATCAATTACTCTAAAGGCGTTCCCATACACAGAGCTATATTATCGCACCTTTGAGCACTTTTAAATATGGTATTATTAAAATACATAGATAATTCTTTGTTTGCGTCATGCATACATACTGTTTTATAAAACGAATATCCATAAAGCTTAGAATAAAAATAATTGCTGCACACATGTATTCATGTGCAACACGAAACTGACGATGGCTTTGAATTAAACCCCCCGCATCCCCCGATATATTGCCAAAATTGACGTGCGTGTTCGATAATAACGATATTTATAGATGCAGCCAGGATCAATGGCTTGGTTTGATTTCTTATTTGCGGTCTTGTAATAGCCATAATAAACTCTTATATTGATATTAAAATAAATAAACTACGTTAAATTTCTGGTCACCCATCGAATTGCAAAAGTTATTGCACCATGGCAGTAAAACTTTATTTTAAAATTAAAAATCTATAGCAAATTTCAATAAATATTAATAACGTACTTTATAGCGATAAAATCAGTGAACTATTATAGCTTGTTGTGTAATAAAGGTTCTTTGCACGACACGCTTGATGACTCGGAAACCAAGAAAATGACAGATTTTTATCTCTCAACCATTTACCTAGATGACGTATCATTCACAAAGACATTCTGGAAGCAAAATAATACATCGTGTTTTTGTGCAATTGAGTCTGACGCTTCATGACCTTTAGTTTTTTGAACCAGGAAATCGTCTTAAATACTTTTGAGAGGGCCCTACCATACTCTTTTTATAAGAAAACGAAAAAATATTGGCCATTAAAGTATGGAATTCGGTACCCGGTGTGATCCGAAAAAGAGTTGAACCGAATTTAAATTACGATTAAAAGGCAGGCATCGTAATAGAACAACAAAGTTTGGAGTGTCATTAATTATGTTAATATTAAGCTGAACTTACACTAAAATTGGTTTCATAAAACTAGTTGTTTCATTGCATTAAATGCAGTTGCACGTGTGAACGTTCAGTTTTTCAATGCATTAGTTCTACGATACTAAAGTAACTTTGTGCCACACGCATATTTTTGATGAAACTAGTATCACGCTACTAATTTCACCTCGAATCACATGACGTAACCTAACTGCGCTTATTAAACTCAGAGATACTGGTGAATGCTCGCCATTATTAAAGTAATTTCACATTAGATGAAATTAGTTTCGTGAAACTTGATTTTAGTTTTGTGGCACTAGTTTCATTATGTAAAATTGGTTTTAGATATAGGAAGTGTAACAGTGTAATATCTATGAATTGAAAATACAGTTACATACCTTTGAGTCCGGACAATGATGGTACTAAAACGAAAATTGCTGACACGTTCACAAACACCTCCCAATCCTGAAAGAAAAAATAATTATTTCTTTATATTTTATACAACTTTCTGAGTTCACTTTTAAAACAAAATTCTTAAAAACATCACATCATTCATCAATCGATTCACATACCGTCTCAAACAAACTCAGCCATAGCAATTAATTTGCTTTACAACATGTAAGTATAATAATAGAAAATGGATAAGATTAAATACCTAGTCTAGAGCAGACTTATATATACATAGTACAAAACGATTTGCTTGCCGCGTCTGTAAGCTGAGATCTTTTATTCGTTTTCATCAATATACATCATCATGAGGCAGGGTGTATAATTAGTACTGGACCACGCGAGAGAAGCCGCTGTCGGAAAATTAGTCTCTTATATTTTGATAATAATATGTGGCAAATTAATTAATTAGATTTTTTGTTGTGTTATATGACACGGCCTATTAATCGAGTAGGGAACGAATTATCACTTTTTTGTAATCTTCTATTGTAATGGAAAGTGTCTTCTATTTTAATTGGACTCCTCTGCTTGAAATAAAACAGCGAGATTAAAGCAGCCTTCGCTGAATTTCTGAACGATTTTTCTCGGTACAAGTTTCCCGACGTAGATTTAATAATCAATAGTATAGCTTTTGACTTCACAAGTGATTGTAACAGTCTACATTGAATAAATGATATAATGAAAATAATGATCCTTAAACAAAATCTGAATCGGTATCGAAATCGGTATCTGAATCAGAATCAGAATTGTGCAGTTAAATATAGGTATGGTGATAGATCAAATAATACTACGCACCCTGACTGTTCCCAAAACTAATCCAGCACCGATTGTTCCGCATCCGGCGATAAAAAAAGGCACGGCCACTTGCATGAGAGTCGTCCACCATCTTTCCTCTTTTTTCTGAAACAATTAACAATCAAATTATAGTTTATTTGCAAAGCACATCAGGTTTACATTACGTCAAGCGGATAGTTTCTTTTCAAAAACTATTCTACTATAAATATTTTGGTTTTGACACTATTTATATTAATAAGCATAACTTTAAAATTTTTATCAATTATGAATTCAAAATTGATCGAATACGTGTGTATTGGCTGCACATCAGACTATACATTGTGAACTTTGTACTGACCGCGCTTGACCGAGTAGACCTCTGTTAGTAGGTAAATTTATAAATTGGTTTCTTACCTAAGATTTTCGTAAATTATTAAATAAGTCTTAACTTTAAGCGTCTGTTTTTTTTATCGTGTAATCAAGAAATATCAAGAATTGATAGTAATATCATAAACATAGTATCGCCATCTAGTGACATTTAGTTTCCTTTTGAATACTTCATCATTACCTAACATTATTCCATACAGAATAAAATTATTAATGATCTATAATTGATTTGCAATAATTAAATATATCCATTGCTAAATAGCTCGCCGCTTTCAAAGTGTCGTCATTTCTAAAATCCCCAGTCAAGTCCCATGAATGTATAAAATAAAAAAAAATATACTAAACAAATAAATAAACCACTGCGCAACAACCAGACTCCTCAATTTACAAACACAATTCACATGAAAATAACTTATCTGTATTCATAACATTGTTACAATACGAGTGTGTATATTAAGATTATTATAGCAATAAAAAGACAAAGAAAGTATTTCCGTATTTAATCTGATGTCACCTTTTGTCTGCCTTCCGAGACTGGGTGGTTATTGTACCATCTTTGTATTACGCCATCATCAAATCCTCTAAAGTCCCAACAGTTGCAGCTCATACGTTTCTAATGGATGGAATGAAATACTAATAAATGAACCATAACCCATAACGCTGTCACGATTTCGGTGCTAGTTGGTTGGTTGAATAGGCTTGAAGTTGGTTTATTTATAGTAAAAAACCCTTTATCTAGGAGATATAATGCAAAATACACATACACTTCATAAATACAACTCGTGAATCAAAGCATAGATTGTAAATGTATATACTAAAAATAGTGTTTTTGCCGGAAGATTTTTAAAGAACTCACATTCGGAAGGAGTGTTACCCAATATTTCAAATTACTAAAAAAAAATATTAAAAAAAGAAATGATGTTAAAGATCAAAGACAAAAAGTTTGGATGCTAAAACCTAGGACGAAACAAACGATGTGGTATGACGCACCGTTACAACGCGGCCCCAAAATTGGTATAATGACTACAGACGTAGTCAGCAAAAACAGCTTAACGTGCCCGTTCGTGGGCTACGGAGAAGGTATACAACACAATGAAAATTTTGGTCACCCATCTCATTATCGACCCCACGAAAATTGCTTAACCAGACCGACGGCGTTAATGTTTATTTAAAGGACCACAATGCTTGGGCGACAACAGCTTTTGTTTTGTTCTACGTCAATCAATGCTTATTGATTTATTATTGTATTGATTTTCATGTATAATGTTTGGCGTTATCGATAGATTTGGCAGTGACATACGTTTAAGTAAATATCGTAAGTATCGTTATGAGTTGAGCATTATTTTTATCGCCCAAAAGATGTCCTGAGCAGTACTTACTCGTTAATAAGAATATCAGATTATTCAATAATGCTTTGAATGAATTTATAGAAATAGAAATATTTCTATTTCTATAAATTAATGCTTTCAATGGCGACTGGGTAAAAAAAAAGAGATTCTATTTATTCCGTCAGTCAGATAATAGAAAAAATATTAGATTCGTATTTATTTTTAACTTCAATTTAACATGAAACAGCTTAGATAACATGTATTAAATTTCAGGAAGGTCGCTACGTAACAGTTATGTAGAAAATGTACAAAAGCGTGACGTCATGTGAATTTTAACTGAATATATCGCCGTAATTTAAATATTACGCAAAAAAATAATAAAAAAAACGTATTAAATATTTTTTAACAACCTACCTAACGGAAAAACATCAAAAATTAGTAGCCATCCCTATTTCAGGGGTTCACATGTGTGTATCATAATCTCATCTTTGGTTATAGCACTCATACACTAAAAATTACTATCTTTTAATTGCTTTTGGTCATACCAAGAAGTAAAGTCTAAATAAACTGTAGTTAAAATTATAAAAGTACATCATAAGGATTTTGTAGTTTTCATATTTTTGCATTTCTCTTCGCAAATATATATTTCGTACGTAAAGGGGCACTAGGGAAAGCTTAACGTGCCTTCCGAATTAAGAAGGAGCTTGCAAAGACTTTTTGATCACCCATCCTAATGCCGACCTGTTTGCGAAAGTTGCTTGATTTCCGCATCCCACTCCGAAACTAATGACTATGCTATCGAACTCAAACGTCATTATCTTCACTTTATTCAATAGAAACCTAATGTTTTCCCGCGATTTCGCCTGCGTATATCATTATACTATGTCACCAGCGTATGGTATAGCTTTCGTAGGTGAAAGAATTTTTGAAATCGTTCCGGTAGTGTTAGATCCTATTCAATTCAAATAAACAAACATATCTTGTCTATTTATATCATTAGTTTAGTTTACACACCCGGGCGGTACTTTTTAAGATCATTTACTACATGTTTTCCCGCGACATTGCCTGAGCAAATCATAACCTATGTCATCCACGTACGTATAATATTTTTAAAATCAGTCTTGTGCTTTCGGATTCATTAATTTCAAACAAAAACACTAACAAACAAATCTATACTCTTTATAATATTATATTGTACTAAGTATAGACAAATAAACACGGCGGTAGACTTTGTTTATTTATATAACTGATCTGGTCGTCTCTTAATTGAAAACCAAATAAAAAACTACACTTTTATTACATTTACTAAGCTGATAAATGAAACATTTGCCATAAAATTATAAAAAAGTGTTATCCACGCTAATAACAACATTATTCAAACATCAATAAAGACAGCCGATAAAAATATTATGATTTGACTTTAGACGGTAGCTTTAGTAGATGGTAAAATATTTTATAATCTTTACGATATAAGTGTCTAGAGTTGTCAGAAAAACCTGTGCCAGATTGCAGTATTAATGACCATGAGTACCATTTTTAAACTAGAGAATAAACATCATTTATATTGAAACCTCAGATCAACATTTTTTTAAACTCCGATTAAATCCAGATATCTTTTTAAACTTCTATCAAAATTTATATTGAAACCTGTTTCGGCGGCAAAATAATGAAATGGTAAACCGAATATTCGGTTCGTTTCGTTAAAGGTTAAACTGAATAAATAGTTCGGTATTCGGTTATTCGTTGAAACCACTATTCGGTTCATCTCTACTTTAAACCATTATCCGACCAAATGAATTGAACACATCTCAATTTGACTTTATCTCTTTTGTTATTGTCAATTTGCTTTTGCCGGCCAATGGTTAAAACTAAGTTTAACTAACTTTAGTTCTCTTTTTACAAAAAGACGGCAAGGATTTTCAATTGCCTATCGTAAGTAAGCGATAGTTATTTTGATTTGTTATTTAGATAAATTAGCGTAGGCACTTAATACTTGCACTAAGGCAGGTGTCGGCAACCTGCGGTTCGCGACGCACAAGCTTCTCTTTTGATGTCTTAGGGCTCTCAAGTTCCATTTACCAAAAATGATCATCTATATAATATTAATTGGTTGATAGAGTAGTAGTAGAAATAGAAAAAATATATTCCATGTTATAGTAATAATCACAAGTAAATTGTTTTTATAATCCATAAAAATAAATAAAAAAAATTTAAGTGAAAAATATTGGAATAGTTAGTGGTGAATCCAGCCAATTAAGAATGGAAGCATGAAAGAAAGAACTAGTGTGTTGAATTTAAGGATTGAATGTTAAACGATAAAAATAAACTTACTACTAAAGGGGAACAGCTAGGACGCCGGCTGTTCCCCTTTAGTAGTAAGTTAAAGTAAAGTAAATACTGTAAAGTCCAACATTTAAAAAAGATTTTTAAAAAATGTAGATTTGGGCTGTTTTGTCTCATATGGTTGTCGATCTCTGCTCTAAGCTATCTCAAGTATTATTGGAAAATATATTCACTTTATGGATATTATTATTATGTTATTAAAGTTACTTAAAATTCAATTAATTACTCGTGATAGATAATAGATAAAATCATAAAAATAGATAATGATTACTTGAATCGTATAATCAATATATTTTGATGTAACGTACTTGACAGTAAATGAGACTATGAACCGCTTTTGCCGCCACGTGATGTGGGTGCAATGGCTGATTCACAGTTTTCCAATGACCGACCAATGAAAATCTGCCTCAGAAATTCTGGATTCTGTATTCGAGGTATATCGATCAAATCTAAGTGAGAAGTAAGTCCCACTGGAAAGTGTGCCTGACAATTAGTCAGGGACATATAGTTTACCTATATATATATTATATATATATATATATATATTATATATATATATATATATATTATATATATATTATATAAAATCTCAAGCTCCTTTGTGATAATTTGAAAAGCATATTATCTGAGAAAAGAATAACGAAATCAAGTGGTATATGAAACATTTAAAAAGTATTAGAACCTATAATGACAAATAAAGGAATATATGAAAACCGCATAATTAATGATTTATCTTCGTCACACATAAAAAAGAACTGTCACCATCAACACGTTTATCTCTGGAGTCACGTATTATATCACGCAAACTCGTCTATGATCTAAGTTTCCCCATGAGCAATTGTTATAACAAATGAACAATTGTCATTGGGAATTTTGAAGTAATTTCAATTAACCGGCAGAAGAAATTAAAGAGTGTGTAAATCATTTAACTGCGAAGGTTTTTAACTGTAAATCAAGTTCAATTCAATAGTTTTATTCTCTTAAAAATCACGAACCTCACATTGTAACTATTTGACTTCTCATGACGTAACGTTTTTTCGAAAGATATTGAATCAAATTATTGAATTATTGTAAATGTCTTAACAAACGCAAAACTTTGAAGGCTATTGAAAAATGTCAAACGAAATGCTATCTGTAATCTTTCGACTGGTTAGGTTTTTATCATTAATCAAATTATTCGTTCTTCTTAAAAAGTTATATAACGGCATAAATAACTTTCATAGTGCTTATATCTTTAAAGTGATTGCTATAGATTGGAAAACTAGCCCTCTGGTAAGTAAGTTAGCATATACATTGCAGAGGAAAATCTTGTTTACCAAGAAGAACCGGCAAGAAACTCAGAAAGGGCTGAATTTTTCACCTTATTATGCACACCCTCTTTTGCACGTTCTTATACTACTACAGCGCTGTGTTTAAAACCATTGTACTCGTATTTCTACAGCTGATCACGATTGTAATCTCATTGATATTCCATTTACGCAAATCGGTATCAAAGATTTGTACGTTTAAAAATATGATATTTTATCTATAAACATTGATGGAGTAGCTACACAATCTGCAGCTGTTGTGTGATTATGAAATCAATTTCATTTGTACATAAAAAAAAGAAAATCTATGGAAAAATAAACATTATTGCTTTTTACTTTCAGTGGAATCTTCAACGTAGTCATTTGATTGTACGCAACATGTGCACCACATTATGAATTGCACCTTCATCGGCACGTTATAGAGTTTACATTTCAATTATTGTCAGTTCAGTGACGTCATTTTGTAATGTCTGAATTCTTGAAAATGTCAAACTGGAGGCGCGGTGGTCCCATCGAGTGTGCAATATAATATTCATGTTATTATTTTAACTTACATTGAGATTTGGTCCATTATTTTACCTGCAGATTGAGGTGATTAATATTATTATTTTGAAGAGTTTTGTATCTAGACATATCTACTGTTTATCATCTCGAGCTTATCCAACTGCATGTGCAGCTTCTAAGAGGACGCGAACACCTATCATTCCTATAAAAGTAACTATTAAGTGTAAGCTTTTTATAGGGAAAATTGATATGTGAATCACTTAGTAACATCATTTTAGCATTTAGTTTGAAAAAAGGTACAAATGAATATTAAAACGGTACAGAACAAATTTACAAGATTTCTATTTATTGTCGTTAATTATTAACGTCAAATTAACGATATAATTTATTCTATATCTTTCAAAAAAACGTTGCGGTCGTAATCGTTATCATATGTCAAATAGTTGTAGTTGAAGTTCGTGAGTATCTTTTAAATGTCAAATTAATGGGATTACGACAAATCTTAAAATTAGTCAATAAGGCCCTGTTGTTCATTAAATGAATTCGTAACGGCGGCACTATTTGTCATAATAAGTGTTTATTTATGTCTACGCTATCGGATTAGAAAAAACATTCACTAACCCCTGATAGTGGTTGTTTCTCAGCATCAGCCTCGTTGATTTTCTTATCTGGGGCCGTCCCGTTTGGGCTCTTCAGATCCCCGTTGGAATTTATCGAAGACATGCTGTAATCCAGTCCTCCCATATCATCTGTAACAACAGAAATAATTTTCTTATTATCAACTGAAACCGAATCACATAAAACCAAGAATCTTAGAGAAGAATATTCTTGTGGGCTTCTCCCAACATATTACATACACTTATTATGTATATTCATTACGTTTTACTCCTTGTACACTATTTTATAGACCTTACTGTTTGAAAAGTCGGTATCTATTACTTCTACTCTGTCATATATAAATATATATACTCTTTATTTTCTATCGACTACGGCGGTTGCTTGTCAATATATTTTTAAATTGAAAATAATTTATTGAAAACTATTATATGTTCATTGAATATAATTGGCACGGACACTAGCTTAAGGATTCACTTTGTGAAGTAAAGAATAAATTATTGGATGTGAGGCGTTTGTATTCGGAGTCATAGCTGTACACCAATACTTTCCATTGCTACATTCTTTTTTTCTATTTATTTCTTTTATCTATTTTTCTTTCTCTGAAACATTTATATGATTTATTCTTTCGGACTATTATAAATTAATAAATACGACCTTGTTATATGGTAGCCGAACAGAAAGATTTTCCGCACTAAATACCTACCTCTTTCACTCATGCGCCAACGTATTGCTATTGCGCTTGCACAGATGCATCTAGCCAATTTTGTCATAATAAAGTGAACCAGAAACGCTTACGATGTCTATCAGCTGCCACAGAGGACAACGTATGGAATTCTTCCTGTTCAGGACCAAGAAGAAATTTTATTTGAATTCAATAGATTTTGATGGCTACATTCAGTTTGTTAAGGTTCAAAACTGAGCGGGGAAATTACAGTTTTATATTACGTGGCATACAATGACTGTAAGTACTTTTGGAGCCCGCCGCGCCCTTGTTTGATATAGTAATTTTGGCGTCATCTCGCATTTGTCGTCGAAATGTATCAAACGACACGCTGTGGCGACACGCGGTGCGGGGCCAGACTAGCTAAATATAAAAGCCGCTTTATTCTTGTAACTTTGTCTTTTTTATATAAGAACTTTATTACAATCGACATATATATTTGTACAGGATTCCTGGAATTGATTTGAATACTGTATTTTTTTTATGTAACAAAAATGCTGTTAAACTTTTTACAATTTTATTTACAGCTAAAATTAATTAAGCCAATACATTAAAATATATAAAAAACTGTTTATAATTTTTTTTATAAAACAGTAAAGAACAAAAAAAAACAGAAATTTATCACGCAATAAATAATTACAATTAGTGATAGAGAAGAAGGTTGTTATCACTTCCTGATTATTTTATCTACGTTGATGCACAGTATAAACAAAAACAGTATATCCACATGATTATTGATTACAAACTATAATAGATTATTCTTTTACCGAATCCATTATAATGAGTAAATAAAATATCACAAAAAGGCGAAATTCTTAAAAAATAGGTATATTAATTGTAATATAGTTATAGTAAGATAAATTTATTTATCTATCTATATATTTACGCCGTATCCCTCATGGCATGGGTGAGCGTTTTTATTTATTGTTAACAAATATTATTTGTCAGGACAACTTTATTAAGTTTATTGTATTTTTATATTTAATTTGTTTAGGTAATTTAGTATCTATAATATATCAAAGTTTATAAGTATTTCGATAAGAAATAAAAAAAAAATTCCACGAAAATGGATCCCTAACTTTGCGATGTATAAAAATTCACTTAATTTAAGACAAATACCTAACTTTCAAAAGGTTTTTGAACCAAAACGCAATTATCAAGACAATTTTAATTTATCATTATTCTATAGGATTATTATTATAGGTAATTGTTATTTATTAGATAATAAATAATTTAATTACATTTTTTAAATATAATACTCCGATAAAAACAGCTGGTAAATAATAATTAGTTTCATATGGTGCCTTCTGAAAGTTAACAGTGTCCGTATCTTTCTCATTGCGGAATTGAGATAGACAATTACAAAAGGTTATTTGAGTTTATGGACTCGAATTTCATCCCAATCCCATCGCCGGCACATGGGATATTGAATTTTTAAGCATTTTTCTTTAAGGCAAATATCAATTTATTCACAGTAAATACATTTATCTACTGTGGTATAATTCTCTCTTATGATGTCGTAAGCTAGAAAACACCGCACTGGAGCGACAATAAGATTCAAAAGTATCGCTAACTCCTATTGGATACGGGCCGTGAAAATGATAATAAATTATCAAGACATCCATTACCTATAGCTTTAATTATAAAGAATTTGATAATATAGCGCAACACAACGCAATGGCGTTACGTTAACGACACAAAGTAAGAAGAAAGTGAGAGCAACGTAGCGCCTTGAGGTGACCCAAAATTGCTATTTTACATTTATGAAGCTAATTTTAAATTTATCTCGTAAGTCCAAGCTGTGCTCCAAGACTATATTAATAAAATTGTTCTATATTATTAGAATAACAATCAAATATATCTTAAAATGGCATCAATGATCTATACAAATATTATAAAGAGGAAAAATTTGATTGTTTGTTTGCAACGAATAAGCTCCGAAACTACTGGACAGATATAAAAAAATATTTCACTTATGGGAAGCTATATTGTTTACTATTCAATTTGTCATTCTAAATATATCCGTGTCATGATATGAAACGATATCCAAATAAACAGTTCCCTAGGGACCACTTGGGCAAATCCACTAGCGGAAATCTAGTAATAATATAACTTTACAGTTATCATACTGTATATTGTAACTGCACTATGGTCACACTTCTTAAGAAGGCTATATTGCGTTCCAGTAAACGAATCTAACATTATTAGATGAAACGAAATATGCAAATTGATTGAAACAATTTCTATTTGTGAAACGAAACGTTATTGAGATTAACTTTACAAGGCAATAAGGAAGGTATAACTGAATTATAGGAAAAACATCGAATTTTCTTACTCGTATTATTACGACATCAAAATAGTTCAACTAAAACTGTTCTCAAATGATATGTACACATGGGTCTTGCAAACATATGACACAATATTTGTTTTGGAAATAAGTTGCCACAATATTAGCAATTATAGTAAAACGGATTTCTTGCTAACTTTACAAGTCCTTAAACGCTTAAGTTTGAAAAAGTACAAAGTGTCTGACTTCTCATCTCAGTCTTTTTATAGAGATATTGTCAAATAATCATTGTACAGACAAAATAAATGTTAATTGCAAAAAAGACTAGGTAAACAGTGCGAATTGAATAAGCCAACCGAGGATTGTGCACCCTTAATTATAAGACTATATTTTTATAACTTAATTACATATTGAGTATATGTATTACAATATATTTTAATTTTAACTCAATATTTTCACGCCATCTAGAAATTAGGGATCTTAACTGATAGACATACGGACAACAAAGTGAACCTTAACGGTTGCATGAACACGTGCAATTACAAATGTTATCTTTTGCATGGTTCTCTTTATCTTTTAAATCACTATAAAAGCGATTACAACATTTTATAACAGAGCCTAACTCTCGTATTCTTTGCTATTTTGAAAAAGAAATAACGCCGAACGTAACATCGACCACAACTCTGCTGTAGCTTAGAGATCCGCTGCAGATTGCAAACGTTCAATAGAATTCTCATTAGTTTATAGCGACATTACCGATACTGATTTTCAAATTAAGAACATTCATTAGAGTTTTAAGATATTATTAATCCTTTATGGACGTTCGTACAAATCAAATAAATCCTTCTTTAAAAACGTAATAACGTTTGATCGAATCTGTAGTTAAAAATTACGACAGAATTCGACGCTGCGTTCGATGCTGATGCTGATTTTTTTAAAGAGTGACATAACAGATCAGATTTTTTTAGCCATATCAAATTCATTTGACATAAAAATGTTTTAGAAAAAATCTACGTGGATGGCAATTAAGACATAGCAAAAGTTATTACCCACATAATGCGTTCAAAGTTCACAAGACATTTTTTTTATTACAATATCTTACGTGGTTTTCATGGTAAATTAAAATTTGCTTAAAGACTGTAAATAATGTATTACAGGTATTATTAAAAATGTCCAATTCGTCACTGTGAGGTCAGAACCACCGAATTCTGTCTATAGTTGTTACTTTTGATGCTGTGACGTCAGTGAAAGCCAAATGTCATTAAGTAAATTAGTCCAAGGTGAAATGCAATTCTATCGTGCAGATTCAACTAAATATGGCCACAAACATGCTGCCACTGTTGCCCTAATGAAGACTTGTGTATTTTAACTGACTTAAAAAAATTATATCAAAAACACTTTTTTTAATGCTCCACAATATCTTCGACAATAGTGAACCTATTTAGACGAATTACCTTTTTTGTTTTAAAAAATGTGATCGCAAGGAGGTTACATTTTTTTTTATTTTAAAGTTAGAACTTTTACTAGTTAATTCTCGTCCGCATTCAAAAGAAGTTTTTCGAGTATGTTAATCACCTTCTTAGTTATTACAAATTATGTTTTAGTTTCTTTATAAAATCTAACTACTACAAAACATAATCATAAAGACTAAGTTTGAGGAAATTTCTTAAAATCCTTCAACTCCAGTAGGAAATGATAAATTTAATAGGTAAAGAACCTAATTAAATAAGGAAATGGAAAATTTTATTTCCATCACATTTTCATGAGTCACGTTTTGATACTTATGAATGTTTCAACGTTAGTTTGTTATACACACTGGAATTTTGCATTTCTATTTAAAATGTCTCAATTACCTACACACAGAATTACAACAGTTTTGTATAACTTGACTCTTGACTGTACCAGACTAGGAAGATAATATATTTCGCTAAATGGTTCCGTTGAAAACGTTAGGCTTAAGATGAGATAATGAGACAAAATCAATGATAGATAGAGACAAAGGATGGTGTATTCCGCGCTAAAATTTATTTTAATAAATTGCAGCTAAAAATATATAAATATCAATTTGTTCAAAACATCGAAAAATAAACTTTTTTTTCTATAGTGAAAATTTTAATAAATCA